TCCCGATACTATACCCTAGTAGCAGGGAGCCCCCCACTTCCCCCCTCCCCCCCCTCCCCCGGTGTGACCCTGAGCGTCCATCCAGTTAGAGATCCCTTGTCCGGTCGGTGGTGGGCCAACTGCAATTGCCCACCCTCACTCTCAAGCCGCGAATGTTCAACCACAGATTTTTTTCAATTCACTTGTTATTCCTTGTAGAATAACCACTGAGAGCGAATCCACTTGAATGGGCTCATTTCAAGAACGGCACCTATACTGGACCCCCTGGACCGAGTATCAGTTGCCCCCGATATTTCATGTAGTACTCTATGTAGCACTGTCCCATTCTTTCCATTTTTCACAGCAATTCCGCCATGCGAGATGTTTTGAGGACACCTGTCTGGCTCAGCTGGATAAATGGATTGGAAATGAATCAGTGCGCATTAGTCATGTTGCAGGAAGGCAAAGGGTAGGCAGAATTCGATGTCATACTCGACTGTCGGCGCGCTACTGCCAAGTTCCGGACTCGGGCACTGTCTTAATCTCTTCGGGCTCTCCCTTAGGATGCTCCAAAAGCCTAGGACTCGTAAACTGCTCATTCCTCAGTGAAAAAGAATCCTCTGGCGATGCATCCAAGTTTTTCCCAACGTTCCGGCAAACGTCACAGTTATACCCATATCGCACATTCCCCTCCCTTCTGCTCCTTAACTGAAGCAAGAGTCCACCCTCTCCTGGTCGTGCGGGCGTAGTCAAGCTATCATTAAGCAGCGCCTTTCTACATTCCAGACTCATGAAAAAGAGGCACTCCACTAGCGTACTTCAGGGGTACAAGTTGTTGATGTCCGAGGTTTTTTGAATTCCTCTGAAGTAGGAATTCTCCATGGTCGCAGATCCCCACCTGTTCAGTAGCGAGCGCTGTGAAACCCCAGAAAAAAGATCTTCAGACTTGAGTGGGACTTATCGTGTAAGAAATGGACAAGCGCGTTGAATCTATAGAAACACTGCAACGGTTACACCTCTATAATTCCCTACACATGCTTCAACCAAAGGTCAGAATTTTTGCAGTTTCTGTAAAAAGAACTTCTCACGGTTTGCTACCGAAGCAGCGAAGCGGATAAAAACACTCAGTTGCATTTGGAGAATCCAAACAGGCGTACTACAGGCAACGGAGTAGTGGTTTTTCATGCAGAATCAGAACGACAGGTGAAGAAGGTGAAGACGTCTGCCAGGCTCGAGGGAGTTTCACAAAATGAGCCCTTCTAACGCTCCCTCCCGAAGAGGTTCGACTCTTCCCCCCTCTCTCCTCCAGACGTCTCTAACCACCAACCAGGCCAAGGTGCGGTCAAAGAGCCGTCAAAGAAAGGTGTTGAAAGAGCAAGAAGAACCGCACCTGTTTCGTCCTAGGAGGATCTGGAAGAGCGCTCGTATCCGGATTGTAATCAGGATCGGAGATAATCTCTGAAAGAACCACAATGACCGCGAATCTTCTGACTCTTATCTCATATATTTCCTATTCTCTAGTAAGATGATGCAGAGCTCGCTCCTGGCACCGGAAATAAGTTTAAAAAACTGAAGGAATTGTCGCACTCGCATAAGAAGATAAAATACTGAGATGGTCATGAAGTAGCCCCGCAACACATAACGTAAGCTTAGTGAGGTTTTCAGCTCCACTGATTACCCGACAGAAGGGAATTTCGCTTTTCACATTGGCGGTAGTTCAAGGCACATATTAGGCCGATCGCATAGGCGACACCTGACCAAAGCGCTCTTCATTCTGCTTTCTGAGACGATAAGGCAGCGTTCAGACTTGTCGCGCTTGAACGCGCGTTGATGGTCGCGCTTAAATTGTCGCGCTTCATTGTCGTTGTCGCTCGTAATTGAACACGCTACAATTACACTACAATTGTACCAGACCCCAGCTTCCCTTTATGTTCTTTCTTCCGGTATTCAACCCCTTTTTCACTGTTTCTCATTTCTACCTGATTCTTAGCTCCTCTTTTTCACTTTGACATTGAATTTTAATGTAGTTTTTGACGTTTTGAGTTTTTGACTTTTTTGGCGACGAATTTTTCAAACGGTAAACAAAACCATTACCACAGTGTCCTGTATCAAAAACTACATTAAAATTCAATGTCAAAGTGAAAAAGAGGAGCTAAGAATCAGGTAGAAATGAGAAACAGTGAAAAAGGGGTTGAATACCGGAAGAAAGAACATAAAGGGAAGCTGGTCTGGTAGATTGGAGCGCGCTTGTAATTGTAGCGTGTTCAATTACAAGCGACAGCGACAACTGAAGCGCGACAATCAAGTTCAAGCGCGACAAGTCTGAACGCTGCCTACAGTGTAGAAAAATGCCAATGAGGAATGCGCAGTGGTAGACTACACTCCTTCCATACTATCAGCGCTAAGCTGTCTTTACGGGCTTTGAATATATGTATCATAAACGTTATTAATTAAGTAAGAAGGAAGCTCCACGATTACAGAGTGAGTAGCTCAGCTGCGATACGAATGGGAAGGTGGTAGTTAACTCGATAGTAAAGCAGAAAAATGTTCAGAAATGCCCTAGTCAGGAACTCACGCCAAAATTAGGTTGTACGAGAATAAGGCGAAAAAGTGGTGCTTGAACCACTTCTCACTTACTGGTATCAGCTCATGCCCCCATCACTTCACTCTCACCGTTCGGAATGGAAGGAGTTAGAAGGAGACCCCCCCTAACATGGAACCTTTAAGAGTGAACGTTGGATGTGGCATAGGGCGGGGTGTTGCCCTCTTCGCAATCGTGCGGCGTCCTTGTTGGGCATTTTTGAGCCGCAACAGTGGTACTTCCTCTGTGCATGCAAACCGCAAACCTTCTCCAGAAAGTTGCGCAAGATGAAGGGTGCAGTGTCTCCAGTATTAGGTTGCCCGGAAAGTTCCTCAGCGTTTTGTGCCCAGGCGCCGCGTGTGGTTACGGGATTTGGAGTGGGGGCCGGGGTCCGGTCTTGTGCGAGGACAGGTATGCGCCGCGGCTGCGGGCCGCCCGAGGCGGTGGCGGGTGGGGTGGTGGTTGGTGTGTGTCGGGGGGGGGGCAGGATGGGCTTGTGTGCACCTATTTTTTGTACATTCACTGCTGATTAAAAACTCATTCTGCCTTGCTTCTCAGTAGCACATCCTGTAGAGAATTTCTTGCGCTATCTGATGGTATAATTGCCGTTTCACCATTGCTTGATAAACCCCCTTTTTTCAAGATTTTTTCAAGCATGTGAAAAGAGCACTTCGGACGATTTTTTTCTTCGACTATAAATTGGGCAATCCGCAATCGAAACAGCTCAACAAATTAACCAGGTGTGGGGGCCCAATAGTGCTAGAGAAAGCACTGTGCGGCAATGGCTCAACAAATTTCGTTCTGGAGATTTCAGCCTTGAAGATGAACCTCATAGCGGTCGACCTAAAGCAATATCTGACGAGGATTTTAGGGGGATTTTGAAGGCTGACCCATCCCAAACAGTTCGAGAGATAGCAGAAGAGCTAGGCCTTGGCAAATCCACTTGCAGATGGTCTGGAACGCATTGGGAAGGTGAAAAAACTCGACAATTGGGTGCCCCACAATCGGAGTGACCGGCAGGAATCGGCACGTCTCGAGGTTCCTTCTGCATTGCTTTTGCGCAGCAGAAACGACCTGTTTTTGGGCCGAATTGTCACCTGTGATGAAAAATGGGTCATGTATGATAACAGGAGACGTTCCGGACAGGTTGGATTTCGACGAACCACCGAGGTAATTTTCAAAGCCGAACCCTCACGAAAAAAAGATTCTGGTCACGGCTTGGTGGTCATCGGCTGGTGTGATCCACTATAACTTTTCACCAGGCCAAACCATCACAGCAGAACCCTACTGTGAAGAAATCGACGAATTGTACCGAAAATTTTGTCAGATGCAGCCAACACTTATCAAAAGAAAGGGTCCGATTCCTTTGCATGACAACGCCCCCACACGTTTCACAAATCACTATCCATAAATTGAACGAATTGGGGGTTGAAGTTCTACCTCAACCGCCATATTCTTCAGACCTTTCGCCAACCGACTATCACCTTTTCAAACATTTTCAGAACTCCCTTGCTGGAAAATACTTCATCAATCAGGACCAGGCAAAAAAGACCTTCGTAGATTTCGTGGATTCTCGACCACCCAGTTTTTTTTTTTGATGGGATTTCTCGACTGCTGTCACATTGGCAAAAGTGTGCTGATTCGAATGGTGCCTATTTCGATTAAATCCGATGAGTATTAAAAAAGTTACGATCGTTTAAAGTGAAACACCCAAAACGCTGAGAACTTTCCGGACAACCTAATACATATAGCACACAAGAGTTCTCGATCAAGCCCCATTTCCTTTATTGGTGATAATCCTTCCCGTTCTCAAGAATGAATTCAAAATTGCGCCCGAGTAGGTAATTTACGACCCACAAAGTGAGCAAGCCGATCACAATCAGCTAAATTGCGAAATACAGAACCAAAGTCCACGCTTACCATTGAAATGTTGCCGTGCACGCTCTGCTACCTCCATGTTTGGAGCACGTGGTAAAATTCCTGGATCGCTGAACGATGTCTTCAGCAGGCTGACCATCACCAAAAACGAAAGTATCGCGGGAAGAACTGGTAGCACGGGAGATACTTCGTTGTAAAGAAATGGTGCACTGGAAAAGCAATTTGAAAACTAAAAATGAGAATAAACAAAACTCCCATTGGGTTTTTCCTCACCAATTTTCCCAGCCATTTTTCACAACCGCTTGAAAATTCACAGATTTATGAATATTAATGAGCTTATGATTCATTATCAGCTTCCATTTTCAAGAATATTAATAATGAAGCACGATAATGAGCAATGAAAAAAATAAGGATCATATATAATAGTAATAAATAAAGATAATAAATATAATGAGTAGCAGCGAGGATTGATGGTAATAGCGAACGGCAACGAATGATGAAAATAAATATTGATGATAAATAGAGAACTGAATAATGATGGTGTATGACGATATCGGATAATAATAATAATAATGAAAAAAACATTAATAATGATGAGCAAACAATCGAATAGGAGTGACGAGTTGTAGAACCCCGATCTCAAAAGGCAAAAAGGGCACGTCCAGCCGCTAGTGAAAATTTTAATTTCGACCCCTCCCCGAATTTTCCCCTCTGCTGCGACCCCCTTTTCCTATTCTAGCTACCGTCTTACTGACGTTTCCCTACTTCCTTACTTCCTACCAATTTCCTCGTTTCCACAGAAATTTTCCAGTTTTCTCCAAAAAAAACTACCCTCGAGCCAGCTGTTGAGCAAAATGTTCCCTCTGAACGAATCGAGCCTCGAAAAGTGCTCCCTCAAAGCGTATCGGCAAATACGACCCCTTGATGGCGTTCACACCGCGATGAGCCAAAAGATGAAGATATGAAAATAGAAAAATACTCACTCAAAAACGAAAAATAACGTCAACGTGGTCGAAATCAGGAACAACGTGAAGACGAACACATTGATTTGCCGTGCCATGATTATCTGAATGACCAAGTTTAGTGACAAAAAAAGCTTGGAAATAGGCGTCATCCATGAATTTAAGAGTAATAATAATAATAATAATAATAATAATAATAATAATAATAATAATAATAATAATAATAATAATAGTGAATAAATAAAATAAATATATCGCAAATATGTACGTCTGAGAGAGTGAAAGGAATAGCAGTTGCAAGTATTCGAGAGAGAAAGAAAATCGAGAAAAGGCACGGCAATGGTATGGAAAAGAAATAAGATGAAACAGTAGGAATATTGAGGGGTTTTTTTTCCGAATTCAAGCCTGAGGTTGTAATCACGGCGAGATGAAGGGGAGAATTCTCGTAGTAATTGCACATGCAATCTATAAGGCCCTGAAAATAACGCTAGGACCCTGAGCGGCAGTCGAAGCGCAGTCTGGACGTACAATAGTCATACTCACCATACTCACACAGCTGACATTTATAAACCTCTAAGTCTTATGTATTTCTCGCAGCAGAGTCTTGTCAGATGGATCTGGCTCACGGAAGTGCGGATTTCTATTTTCATGGTCAGCTTGAATCTAATTTTCTCTAGAAACCGCATAGAATGGCTCCAGTGGGCTTTCCCGTGTAGAGCGGCTCACTTTACGATCCTCCGGGGAGATGAGTGGTTGCCGTTTGAGCAGTCTTCACTCTAAGAGTCGAAAAAGCTGGAAAAGATCCCTACGCTGATCATCCCTTTTGAGATGCCATTCGGCATCCTTTATCATTCGGGGGTGGAGGGGGGGGGGGTAGAGGCACTTTGAGGACGTCTATGCAGTAAAAGGCGTGTCCAAATTCCCTCCGCAGGTGCCTTCAGATGTCACTTAACTTAAAGACAGCCCCCGCGATCAAAGTGGCTCGTGGTCGCCTTTGCTGTGCAAGTAGTCTAGCCTCCAAGCTAGAAGACTG